GAGAAATGACTTAAAGACAGACTTGCAAAAACCTCGACTTATCCATGTTTAAAAAGAATGAGAAAGTCTGTTCAGGAGACAACACGAAGGGTGTGGCCAAAAGACCATTTGATAAGAGTAGCATGGTTGTGAACCACGCCCGCAGGTAAATTTATAGTGTGAACTGAGAAAAAGTAGATGGGAAGAATGAAGGAAGGCTGTTAGATTTCTTGGATTTTACAGGATGGGACCACAGAGCTATTCAGCAACAAATGTGCTATTCTTCAAGACAAGGAAAGAATGACACTAAAGCAATTTAGAAATCACCACTGCCTTGAGTTCAACATAACAGACAGCACAAAAGAGTGGGACCACTCAAAGTCCAGTGGTTGGGAACACTCCCACTCGATAGGTCAGAAGGCAGTATCTCCACCCAAGGGGATCTGGAAAGCAGACCATCAAGACAAAGAGAATTATTTTCCAGCCTTAATATCTCATGGAACATTCTTGGGACCTGTTTCCCTTTCTTCTTTCCTTTTTCTCGTTTGAAATGAGAATGTCTATCCTGCTCCTATCCCACTACTAATTTTCTGGTTGTTGTTGTTGAGTTTGGGGGAGGGGGTATTGTTTGCTTTTGTCTTTTGAGACAGCCTGTTATCCAGCCTGGAGTACACTGGTATGATCGGAGTTCACTGCAGCCTCAAACTCTTGGGCTCAAGCAAGGGGTTTCTTCCTCCCTGAGTAGCTGGAACCATAGGCTAATTTAAAAAAACATTAAAAAAAAAAAAATAGGGTCTTGCTGTGTTTCTCAGGCTGATCGCCACGTCCTGGTATCCAAGCAATCCTCATGCCTCAGCCTCCTGAATAACTCGTTGTACAGGTCTAAGACACCATACCTGGCTCACTTTTGTATTATGGAAGCACACATTTGAGTTTCACAGGGTCACAGCTGGAGAATTTGCCTTATGATGAATCATACTTTGAGTCTCACCCATACCTAATTTAGATAATATTGACAGGAGATATTGGACTTGACACTTTAAAGTTGATATGGTATGAGTTAAGACATTTGGGATAATTGGGATAGAATGTATTTTGCAAGCAAGAAGGGCATGGATTTTTTTGGTGGCAAGTGCAGAATGCTATATAGACTGAATGTTTGTGTGTCCTTCCCAAATTCATATACTGAAATTCCAACCCCACAATGTGATCATATTTTCAGTTAGGGCTTTCAGGAGGTGATTAGCTCATGAGGGTAGAATGGAATCGGAGCCCTTTTTATTTTTGCAAATTTGATGGATGTACATATTGTAATTTTAAGATACATTTCCCTAATGACTAATGATGTTGAACTTCTTTTCTTGTAGTTATTTCCCATCTGTTGGTCTTCCTTGGTGCACTGTTTATTCAAATCTTTACCTCACTTAAAAAAACTGAGCTCTTCTCTTGACATTTGTGAGTTCTTAATATATTCTAGGGACAAGCCGATTGTCAGATATATGCTTTATAAATACTTTCTGCAGTCTGTGGTTTATCTTTTCATTCTTCTAACAGCATGTCTTAAACAATATAAATTTTTAATTTTGATGAAGTCCATTTTATCACTTTTTTCTTTTCAGGATCATGGTTCTGGCTTCATAGAGGAAAAAAAAGCTTTGCCTAAGCAATGCTATCAGACACTGCACCAAAGAAGACAAATGGATGGAATATAATTACATGAAAAGATGTTCAACATCATTAGTCATTAGGGAAATGCAATTTTTTTCAGCATTTGACTATTTATTTACTTCAATAGCTTTTGGGGGTACAAATAGTTTTGGCCTGGTCTTTAAGTGTACCTACCACCTGCACCTGTGCACACTGTACCCAATAGGTGATTTTTCAACCCTCTACCTTTTTCTCCCCTCCCACTTCTGAGTCTCCAGTGTCCATTATACCAGTCTTTATGCCTTTGCATATGCTTAGTGTAGTTCCCACTTATAAGTGAGAACATGCAGTGTTTTCTGTTCCTGAGTTAGTTCACTTAGGATGATATTCTCCAATTCCATCCAAGTTGCTGCAAAAGACATTCTTTTTTGATAGCCGAATAGCATGTCTTTCTTTTCTTTTTTATTTATTGTAGAGATGAGGTCTCACCAAGTTGCCCAGGCTTGTCTCAAACCCATGGTTCAGGAATCCTCTCACCTCAGCCTCCCAAAGTGCTGGGATTACAGGCGTGAGCCACTGTGGTGCCTGGTCCGAATCGTATTTCTCAGTGTATATATACAACATTTTCATTATCCACTGATCAGCTGATAGGCATTTATATTGATTCCACATCTTTGCAATTGTGAACTGTGCTGCAATGAACATGTGGGTACAGGCCTCTTTGTTATATAACGACCTCTGTTCCTTTGAGTAGATACCTAGTAGTGGGACTGTTGGAGCAAATAGTAGATCTACTTTGTTTGAGAAATCTTCATACCACTTTTCTTAGAGGTTGAACTAATTTGCATTCCCACCAACAGTGTTATAAGCATTCCCCTTTCTCTGCATCTACACCAGCATCTATTGTTTTTTTAATTTTTTAATAGTGGCCATTCTGACTGGTACAAGGTGATATCTCTTTGTGGTTCTAATTTGCATTTCCCTGATTATTAGTGATGTGAGCATTTTTTCATGTTTGTTGACCATCTGTATATCTTCTTTTGAGAGACGTCTGTTCATGTCATTTGCCCACTTTTTAAAGGGGTTGTTTGCTTTTTTACTTGATTTGTTTGAATTCTTTGTAGATTCTGGATATTAGTCCTTTGTCAGATATATAGTTTGTATGTATCTTCTTCCATTCTGTAGGCTGCCTATTTGCTCTGTTGATTATTTCTTTTGTGTGCAGAAGCTTTTCAGTTTAATTAAGTCCTACTTGTTTATTTTTGTTTTGTTGCATTTGCTTGGGGGATTTAGCATAAATTCTTTGCCTAGGCTGATGTTCAGAAAAGTTTTTCCTAGGTTTTCTTCTAGGGTTTTTATGGTTTCAGGTCTGACATTCAAATCATTATCCATCTTGAGTTAATTTTTGTAATGAGGAGAGATAGGGATCAAGTTTCATTTTTCTGTATATAGCTATCCAATTTTCCCAGCATCATTTGTTGAATAGGGTGTCTGGGAAAGCAAATTCAAACATTTGAAAAACTAAGATTTTTCTCAGTCAGGTGTGATGGCTCATACCCGTAATCTCAGTGCTTTGAAAGGCCAAGTCTGGAGGATCATTTGAGGACAGGTGTTCTAGACCAACTTCGACAACACAGCAAGACTCTCTACAAAATATAAAAAATTAGCTGCAGGTGGTGGCATGTGCCTGTAGTCCTAGCTACCTGAAAGACTGAGGCAGGAGGATAACTTGAGCCCAGGAGTTTGAGGTTACAGGGAGTTAGTATCACACCACAGCACTCTAGGTGACAGAGCAGGATCTTGTCTCAAAAAAGGAGGGAGGGATTTTTCTCTGTTTTCTTTTTTTTTTTTTTTTTT